CCCCGAGTGTCCCTCCGCGCCCCGAGTGTCCCCAGCCCCGCTCCGTGTCCCCAGCCCCGGTTCACTGCCCTAGTCCTGCTCCACATCCCGAGTACTGGTCTGTTCTCCCCACCTCACTCCACACCCTCTAGCCCCACTCCGTGTCCCCAGCCCTGCTCTGTGCCCCCAGCCCCACTCCGTGCCCCAAGTTCCCTTCAACTCCCCTAGACCCACTTTACACCCCCAGCTCCGCTCCACACCCCTAGTCTCACTCTCCTTCCCCTACCTCGGTGCCCAGGGCACCCCAGCACCAGCGCCCTGCACTGCCCGGGGTTTGTCCTCCCTGTGCTGCACACATGGGCATTCAAACAGGGGCAGCCCCATGGCTGTACCCACACGGGGAAAGCCCCTCCCCTGCCCCACACCCGCATGGGGCCAGACCTGTGAGCTGCCCCCATGGCAGCCCCTAAACAGGGGCAGCCCCATGGCTGCACCCACGAGCACCTGCATGGGGCCAGTCCCCACCTGCACTGCTCCCACCAGCACCCACCTGGGGATGGTCTCTCCTGTGCTGCTCCCATGGGCATCCAAACAGGAGCAGCCCTGCGGCTGCACCCACACAGGGCCAGAGCCCTGCCCTGCAGCCATGGGCACCGAGACAGAGTCAGGGAGGTGGCTGAGGGCAGAGGAGACCCGTGCCAGGGGAGGGTGCCCCAAGGACAGGGCTTGAAGGGTCCCTGTGCCCTGACTTGCGCCCCTGAGGCACTCCAAGATGTGGATGCCATGGGCCAGGCTGGCACTCACAGCCATCAACAGGATGGGCAGAGCCAGGAGCTCCTTCTCCAGCATGGTCCTGTCCCGAGGTGTTGGCCCCACTGAGCTTGTAGGGACATGGTGACCATGGCAGCTGGCACCATGTCCAGCTCCTGAACTCAGGTCACCACACCAGGCTCTGCCAGGCTCTGCCGGGACAGGGGTGGCACTGGGGTCCCAGGATCTATCCCTCTCTCCTGCAGGTGCTGTCAGAAGTCACAGAGGGAGGTCACTGAGGACTGCAGGGCACAGCAAGGGGTGGGGAGACCTTTGGCTGGTCAAATGGCCACCCACAGGGTGCGGGTGGGTGCAGCAGGGATGGGACAGGTGCAGGAGGGATGGGGCAGGCACCGCAGGGTGCAGCAGGGTTGGGGCAGGGTGCAGGTGGGTGCAGGGGGGTGCAGCAGAGCACCCCCTGGGCTGGGTGGGCACAGTGAGGCTGGGGCAGGGTGCAGGTGGGTGTGGGTGGGTGCAGCAGGGTTGGGGCAGGGTGCAGGGGGTGCAGCAGGACTGGGGCAGGGTGCATGGTGCAGGTGGGTGCAGGGGGTGCAGCAGGGCTGGGGC